GACCACCGGTTGGCGACCGCTGATTTAGTATAACTCACACCAATGGCGACCTGATACAGATATGGAATCACTTATAATAATAAATACCAACTATACAATTTAAAGAAATCTGATACTATTTAACTTTTTCTTTTTTTCTATGTAGTAGGTGTATTATGAATGCACATTGGTAAAGGGATTACAATTATTCAATCTATGAAATATTATTACTTTGGCTATAAATATTATTTTTAACATATTACGTTTCGCCAGCTGCTTATAAATTTCTTAATTTTTCATTATTCGGTTACGTTCTATTTAAATATTGATTGTTCTAAATATTTGTTTTTGATAATTTCTTGTTGTTGATTTATTTATTTTTTTTCGTTGTGAAAAATAATACTGCCTAAATAGCTGAAACACTGATATATATATTTCGTTACTCTAATTCAAAATCTGAAATTCTGAATATGGTTTCTGGTTCTAAAGTGAAAAAAAATGCAAACAATTGTTAAATAATACAATTGTAATGCATTATTTGAATAAAAATGTTTTTTTTCACGTTATTTTTTTCATTCAAAATCTATATTTTATGTACTTGGTATTTAAAATTTTTTTTTTAGCAAAATTATGCTATAATACTCAGGGCCGGCTATAGCGAAAATAATGCACTAGGCAAATAATAATATTATCACTGGTTTGAAAATGCCACCACCTACTAAAGTGCAGCTATAGGCGTGTGCCCATGTCACTCACCCCATGAGCCAGGCATGATAATACTTTTATTACTATAACTTGGGGTTTCTTTAGTATTCATTTTATTAAATAAATTGTTATATTGTTATAAATGTTGCATTCATATGAAATTTAGGCATGAACAATTATAATTATTTCTATGATATCGAAGTGTGTTTTTAATTGTTCTGAGGAAAAAAAAACTTCAAAAATTAAGGCGCCGGACCTCGTGAACCCAGGTCTCACCCTTGCTGAGTGATTGCTCTACCACTAAGCTAACCCAAAACGCAGACCCAAAACGCTATCTTCCCCAGTCAAAGGATATTTAAATATTTTAATAGTATATTATATTATAGAGCTTAAAAAAAAAATGAATGCATTTTTTATGTTAACATTTGAATGTGATGTATGTCAAGTTTGTTGGCACAAAACATTGTTACCGAGGACACTTTACCAAATTTTTTTTATCAAATAGTAACTAATATCTAGTTTTAATATTTATAAATTAAATACTATTAAAATTTAAAATGTTTCATTATTTTGAACATGACGAAATAAACTGTAATTAATAGGAATACAATATAGTAAGATAATTTTATTTGGGCCATAAATAATTATTAAGTGTGTCCATGGACAAAATTGGGGGACAGCGATAAAGCACAAAATATATTATGGTTTCTTATAAAATTTAACATCCAAAAATATTTATATTTTTAACTAAAACAATTTTCTTGATACAAGTTCCACAAGCTTTGCAACTCATCCCGGTGTCCTGTCATAGTATAGTTCATTTAGTAAGTTTCGCACATACAATTTTTTATGCTGTAACTGTATAAACATTTTTAGCATCAGAACGCCTGGTGTAAAAAGTACACCAGATACTGAAACCAGTAACCACTAATGAAACCAATAGTTTCATGAAGATTGGTTCTGTAGTTTCGGAGGAGATAGCAATAATGAATTGTGTCGAACTGGCCACTGGGGGATAGCCCAGTGGGGTATAGCTTCGCTCCATCCAATAAAGACTTAAGACACGGATAGGATATAACGTATTCATTATATTGTGTTAGTTTTGTGGTCCAACATAAGTAGTATGTATTTGTATGTTTACAGTTCGTTTTTCCGAGGTAAATATTTTTGCTCAAGGAGGAATGTTAAACTCGGAAAACATTGATTTACCGTATCCCACATCACGGAGATTACATACTTATTGTCTATCTATTTGCTCCTCACACAAAAATATTTACCACGTAAACACCAATTCTTTTTTCTATCAAACCTTAGGTACTAAAATAATATTTCAAGTAAAGGACATAAATTATTAAATAAACTTTCTTGTTGTTATAAATTAATTTTAAATTATATTTACACACGTTTTCTTACTTCTTTAGTAAAAAGTACATATTCTACAATACGATCACGAATTAACAAACAATAAACAGTTACCCCTGTAAAGGATTTCGATGCCTCAATTTCCAACAAAACATCCACTGCTGAGGCTGTAGCTAAATCATTCTGTTTTGAAGTATAGATAGTTATATTTGGAGGGTCCGATAGAAAAGTGGAAGGACTCAATATTGGGTATTATATTTTACTTTTTTCATAGTACGATTCTTGAAACGATGTACAAATAACATATAATAAGGTGACAATTTTTTACAAAATTTAAATTTAAATCATCATAAGAATAAACTATTGAGTATAGAAATAAATTAAAGTTTGTTAGATTAAAATGATCAAATAAACTACAATCTTTTGATATTGAATTTCTTGCGTTATTTCTGTAACCCAATTATGATAAATCGTGGTTTTTCTAATTTTGAAGCAGTTTCCAAGTTCTATACAACTTTTTTAGGAGTTCTGAGTTCAGGATATTCAAAAGTTTCAAAAGATCTAAGGAATAAACAAACTTTTTTCTTTTTCTACAAGTTTCAATAACTTTAACCTTTCTTCATCGTCAATAGTAATATACGTGGAACCTTCCAGACTATTTTATTGAAAACAACTTTACCTGTAGCAGTAATAGTTCCGCCATTTTTAAAGCTTACTTAACGCATTTAAATCAATATGACTTCAAGTTAATATTAGTTCCAATCTAGAATTATCTAATATTTTTTTATAGTCTTCAAACAAACTTAACTAATATTTCAATGAAATGCAAGCGCTAAATTCACCTTTATCGTTTGCTGGTTGTGATGCATTTTTAAAACTACAGCCAGAATTTTCATAACAGTTATAGTTATCTGGTGTGTTTTTCAACGAGCCAGTAATTCCAAGAACACAATATGTACTACCTATCTACTTTTAACCGATTGATTTATAATCGTATTTATTCGAATAGATAATAGTAAATTAGTAACCATTATTAGTTAGTTTCACTTTGTCAGCTTCCGATATTCTTCCTTAATAAAAATAAACTTTTCGTGTATGGATAAACTTCCGATTGCTGGATTGATACACGTATTTCATTATTATTATTAGGCGATGGTGTATACGAATGATATTCAATTTTCGTAATTTTAGAATCCGTTTCATACGCTGAACTTATATCTAAAATATCACTCCCTGGCATTCTACTGTAATTTATAACCCAAAGCTTGTAATTTTTTTTTATTTTTCCGGGTAAATTTTTTTATTTTATTTGATGTTACCGGTGGCATTTAGTCATATAACTATAGTTGAACTAATTTGAAGTAATGGGTTTATAATGATTTTTAATCACATCTCAAGACTCGTTGCGTTTAATATGTAGCACGATTGTCAATATCTCACTAAAATGATCTATCAGATTATGATCTTGATCGACTAACTGGACGGTTGTCAAGTCAATATTTGTTTCATTAAATTTGGTGCCGACTGCATTACTTTTCCTGACATTTAGGATACATTGGGATACACTTGGGATAAATCGAATGACTTCGAAGATGGCTGTTGAATGATCCTTGAGCTATATTACACATTACTTTTATAGAATTGAGTTTAAGTTCAAAGCTTTTTACGATCGATGAGTTTCACATTCTGGCTTATTTTCTCGTTTCAAAAACCTCAATACAGGTGCCATACTACGTTAAAGCTCTAAGTGTAGTATTTCATTACATTTTATATATGATTTTAAATCATTAGGATCAACCGAAATGTAGAATGTTAACTGTTTTAAATCGTTCATTATAGGTAGATATTTATTTGTTCTATAACTCGTTATCTAATATATTTAATTTCATAGCATCCTTCTTCCAGTTTAATGAAACACCAAAATTTAGTAAATATGTATTTGCTAGTAAGGTTTGTTGAAAAAAAAATATTTAGTATGTACATGGTAAATATTCTTAGGTATACTTTAAATCAACGTCCTCCGAGTGGAACATACCCACTTGAGCAAAAATATTTACTGTGGATAAACGAACTGGGAACATACAAATACATACAACTAATAAAGATAAGAAATTTGCTTAAAATTTTGTGTAGTACCTAGGTACCTGAAAGATAGTTAGATACTCGGTATATAGGTTAGGTCGGCCGTTCTCAACCTTTTTAAATCTGCGTACCACCCATACAGCTTAAACATTTTCATAACCACTTGACTAAATAACGTTTTTTGCCTATCAAAAATGCATAGGTACGTTGTTTCATATGAATGCATTTTTATTTTATTAAAAACTTTGAAATTATGACAATATAAAAGGTAAATTTCTAAATTGAATTAATGATTAATTTGATACACCAAATAAAAATTAAATATGTACAATTTTTATTTATGTTACCTTTTATTAATATTAAATAAACCAAATAATATTTAATGTGAATGATCCATTCCAATTTTTTTATAAAGGGAAGTTTTCTTCACTTTCGGTCCGACCTATGAGCTTTTAATGTGTCACTAGTGGTACGCGTACCATAGGTCGATAAACACCGGGTTAAGTTTATCAGTCTATGTGACCTATATGGTCACAGGTAAATTGTCAATCTTGATCGAATTAGTTCACAAAGCGAAGTATGCCAACGCAATTCTTCCCGTTATCGGAGGTACACCAAAACAAAGATACACCTGTAAATCGCTATATTTTATATTTTTTCATCTGAGAAGTCGGGGTATACAGCAAAAAATGAATATAATATGTTTATCTGAAGTTAATAGACTCAAAAACTACTGAACCGTTTTCAATAAAAGTTATATCAATAGATTCCTCGAGACTAAGAGGGTACAGTTTATACTTTATAGCTTTTTTGTCAACTAACAGTGGCGTACATACGGGGGGGGTTTTCGGGTTCAAACCCCCCCCCCAGGACCAAAAAAAAAAAAAAAATATGTGATATTATTGATGAATTTCTTATGATACACGGACAAACAAACGTCATAATAATATGACTATTGAGTAAACACTATACTTTACCAACAACGAAAAAAGATTTCAAAACGAAATTATGGTTGCCGTATATACACTTAAAATATGTACACTATATTATGTAGTATGTACACTTGATCGTACACAGTCAGTTAATTGCATAGGTACATATTAATATATAAATCACTGGCTGAGAAAATTGACATTGCGATAAACATGCCAAGAATATCAAAAAGACAAACCAACAGGTGTAACATTCAAACAAACGATCCAGAAATATTTTATCGTGTATCAGTATTTATTCCGTACATAGACAAATTCATTAATGAATTGGAAGAAAGATTTACAAATCACCAAAGTACATTGACAAGCTTCCATTCCTTATTCAAAGAAAGTGGTTTTGAAGAAGATTTTATATCTCTTACAAAACAGTATATCGAAGATCTAGAAGATATTGGAAATTGTGATGAGGTATTCAAAAATGAGTTCAAACTTTGGCAACGAAAACTTAAATGTTTATCAGAAACGGATAAACCAAAAAATGCAATGGACGCTATTTACATATGTAATGAAGCCATGTACCCAAATATTTTTAAGTTACTTAAAATATTAGCAACTTTACCAGTTTCTTCTGCCACTAATGAAAGGACATTCTCAACTCTCAAGAGAATAAAAACTTACTTACGCAACTCTACTTCTGAGGTAGGTATGTTTAATTTAAATAAAAGTATTAATGATTATAATGATTCAACTTAATTTAATGTTGTAATTCATTTTGATAGGGAAGACTTAATGGTCTAGCTATGCTATCGATCAATAAAAATGATTCAATTACTCCTGATGAAGTGCTGGTTGAACTATCCAATAAAAAAAGGAGATTAGAATTTTTGTTATAAATAATTAATAATATAATATATATATATAATTATCTGTATTTACTATGTGCATATTAAATAATATTTTACTGCCATGAGTTATGTAAACCTTTGTATTTGTTTTGCTGTTTTGCCTATTAATATTTATACGTGTAATGTATTTGATTGTTAAGAAAATGGGTATTTTTAAAGGGAAAGTTTTAGTGTTGGTTATTTTTTTTAAACCCCCCCCAGATCAAATTTGAATGTACGCCACTGTCAACTAATGTAGGCAGCTAAAGGATGCATTTTAAACATGATTTTTTTCAGCTTACGGAAAAGAAAATTGTTTTTGTTTATCTAAATAGTTGCCATTGGTAAAATATTATATTACAATTATAACTAGAATAAATATAACATATATATTTATTGAAAAAACAAATCTTTGACTCGGGCAACGTCGGGTGAGACTACTAGTATATCACAACATACCACAAAGAGTAGGTAGAGTATATGTTTACAAAAAAAAAACTCAAAAAGTTCACGATAAATATAGTAATAATAAGAAAAAGGTCGACGAAACAGTCTTTACCATATAATATTAATAAGACAAACTGTAATCACAAAAATACGCATGTTTGGTTAAAAAGTCAGCTTTGAAATAGGTACGTCGCTTCTGAAAGGTTATGACTGTTATCTATACCACGATCATTTTACCAAGATGATTTTAACTGTTTGACTGTTTTTTAAATATGTTATACAGTTTATTTTCCTGAAATATTTCATTTTTGAAAATAATAAAATAAATCTTGTTTAAAAACAGATGTTTTAATGAACATTTAGGATTCTTAGTAGAGAGAGGAATTTATTAATTTTAGAATGACATTGTGTGAGCTGTTCTAGACCCAGCCCATCAAATTTCTGAAAAAGTTTCTCACTTCCAATGGGTTCACATAAAAATCTAGAATGTAAAAACCTGTACGTTTCAAATCTGGAATTCTCGCTGCTCTGCGCTCGAACAAAAAAAATGAAAATATCCATCGACTTTTTATGCAACACTACCAAAAGTAGGTCACTGTCCAGATTTTTACGAAATACAAAATTATAATATATTCCAGATTTTTAATGTCCAGAATTGTATGGATTTGTAGTTATTAAATTCCAGATTTTTACTGTACAGATTTATACCGTCCTAAATTTTACTGTTCAGATTTTTACATTCCAAGTTAATACGCACTTCCCTAGAGATTCGTAGAACACGATGGTTTAATGATGGCACGAATGTGAAATAGCTAGAACCTAGGAACACGGAAGTCAGTAGCGCTGGTCCCGCGGAAACAAAACGTTTCAGAGTTCGATGATACGCGACTCCACCACGGTCCGGCCACCGGAAGCAAGTGCGGCTCTAACGGCCGGGCGAAAACAACGGAGAGTATTAGGACAGCTGTGCGGTCCACCGATTCTCTATTTTTCGAATCGGGCTTTCTATCACCGGTGATTCCGCGGAATCGATATAATAGTGTTCGCTCACTATGTGTTTTGGTCTTCGCGGTCACAACAATTATCTTTAGCACCTTGCAACAAGGTAAGTAAAACATAGTAGGCACATTAGCCACTTGACGTCAATCGTCGTCGCTTCTGCAGCCGTCACGGTCATCATCACGCACCCGCGACACTCGTCCGCTGCGTAGCACCAGCCGTGCCAAAGTCGTTGAGGTGATCTGTTGTAGCCCAAGACTAAATACATATCAACATCATCTGCACCCGATACGTCATCACGGGCATCACGTATCCGCCGGTGGGGGATCTCGACTTAAGGACTATGTCTAACGTATTTATTTTTTTTATTATAATATTTATTGTTTTTTTCTCGACTCCCTTGTTAGATTATTAAAATTGTTTTTTCTAAATTTTAAGTCACACCTAACAATGACATTATATTCATAAAATATGGCAACCTTAATACAGTCATTTTTTGAACTCTGTGACTTAAAAACAGATTGCAAGCACCACCGAATACTATCTAGGCCTGAGAAAGATCTCTCCGGAATTGATGTTAACACCGGGACCTACTTGCAGAAGATCTTTAACAGCTTATTAATAATATGGCAAGACCTTCTAGCACATAACTTGCATATAATGCAGTTAGATTTGAACAAAGTGAAGTATTGTCAGCTATACTGAAAATGTAGTTTATATTATACTTACCAGAGAGAATTTTTTTAAATGCCATATTTTTCGGTTATCTGGAAACATAATAATATTATACATTTTTATACTATATATTACGATCGTGTTTGGCACAAAAACTTGACGCTTGATGTTGTCGATAATAATGCACGCAGTGTCGTAAACCCACGTGAACGTGAAACCCGAATCATCGATTAGGGCAGGCGTATGTATAGAACCATATAAATATATTTATAAAATATATAATACCTATGCCTGTTTATTATACCATCAAGTGCCTACCCTTATATGGGTTTTTATTCGTGGGCACTGTACCGAGCACGTTTTATGCATTTACACTTTATATTTTTTTTTTTGTATTTCTTCTCACCGTGTATTTAAAAGCCGACCGTGGATATTGTATATAATAATAAAATATAACACTACGGTACAGGTGCCATGGAAGTCACGGGAGCGACGGGGATCGTCATCACGTGATCGCCGTGCAGTCACGATAATAATATAATAGATGTGTCGCGGACCCTGCAGCTGCCTCGAGGCAGCTATGCAAAATAAAATGTTCGTGAAGGAGCGCTTAGGGCGGCAGTGAGTGGGTGGACGCGAACTCAAAATAATAAAAGACCGTGACTTGTGAGCGGGCATGCTCACCTACAAATTACCCCTTCACATACGTACAACACACACACACACACACACACACACACACACACACACATGCTCACCTATATAGTGATACATCACCTCGCGTAATGGTTACCGTGTTGCAGCAAAGTTGTAAAGAAAATTACTTTAAAAAAGTCGTTCGGCCTTTCGTCTTACTTCGGTTGTGCACTGCACTATAATATTACGGACACCGGTATTTTAGACGTATTACTTTGAACGGCAAACATTTTATTATACCGAAGTCCCAAAAAACTATTATGATTTGAACACACGCTCGACGTAGTATAGATTAGTATGGGTACCTACCGTTATCTAACGGTTTTTTTTTTTAACAATTAACCACTGGCTTATGTTTTTTCCCTAGCGTCTGAAGTACGATAAGCTACGCTTAATTTTCAATACCTATATAGATGAATGCTGCTGGTATAGAGGTGTTTCGCTGTCTTAATGTATAACCATTTTAGGCTATTTTTAATTTAAAATATTTATTCAATCTGCAGATTTCTATACAGTAGGTATAGTCTTTTACGAATTGTACGTTATAACGCCTATAACTATGCGACTTAAACATTAAACGTGCAGGTCGTTGCATACGCATGTATAAAATGTAACATTAATATTTAATATATTATGCCGGGTGGTATACTCGCCAACCATTTCAGTGTATATTATAATAATTTGTGCCACGATAGCATTTTCTTCTGAACCTCCCCACATCCACTTATTATGGCTCTTAATTGTGATTCTTTATACGTATAAAAAGTGCCTTGGGCGTTTAGCGCCGTCTATTAACGTCGTCAAAGTACACCTTTCAAAATTATATGAAGTGGCCTCTCTGGGTCTCCTTAAGATTATTATTACTATTATTTTTTTAATGCAGGAAAAGTGACAACTAAATATTAAATTTTATAGAACCAGAATAAGTTTATCATGAACAAAAAATATGTATGATACATATGTACCTATTTGGCTTAAGTAACTCTTCCTACTACACAAAAAAAATGTAACAGTGAAATCACGAAATTAGTATCATTTTCAGTAATTAATGAACAATTTGTAAATTAAAATTACTATGCACGAATAAAATGTGTTCTCATTCGTTATTCTAAAGGTCTTAAAATGATTTCAAAAATTATCTAATTAATAATTATGTTTATGATTATGTTTTCATAACATAAAATACAGAATGGTTCCAAAGAAAAACTGATTTATAAATGTACCTATTACTTGTCTGTAACTTGTTCATTAAAGATGTTCAGTTTACTAAGAAATCATTTAAACACTCATATTATAATATTTTATGATGTACCTACCTCCTTCAGCTACATGAAATACGTATAGAATTTACATGTTCGACGTACAAAGTCTTTTAAGAGAAAACTTATAAAAATCTTCTAAAAATGAGTAGGTATTAGCATTTGGCTCTAAATAATACCCACCTATGCTTACCAAAATTAAATATGAAAATGTATGAAAAAAAATATTATTCTTTTTCTATTATTTTAAAATTTGCATGCTTAAATCATTAACAATATTCTTAATACACTTAGTGAATGCATTTAATAATAATTAATAAATTATAACCATTAAAAGTTTAAAATAAAAAAAAATCTAGTGGTACTAAACTGTGGTAAGCTATAATATAGTTTTCAAGTATTAAATAATGTTAACCTACATTATAACATTATAGGTGCATCGCTTTTTATTAAACTTTTAACTTTTAACACTGAATTACAATCAGTGTTGAGAAGGAACGCGTTTCTTTTATACGAACGAAGCATGGAACGCATTCTGTTTCAAATATAGTAACGAGAAATATGAAATAGTTCCTATTAATGAGAAACATGAACTCAAATTTCCATTCCTTATATTATAAGAAAAAAAAATGAAACACATGTTATTTTGAATAATATTTTCTGCATCTAATGAGCAAAAATCAAAAGCTGACACCTTCAATTTTCCAAGATCAATCTGGGTCCAATTAACTACTAGACAATGTATTGAATTTCAAAATTAGCCGATTATTTCTGCTAAGATGCAAAGTTCGATTTTTTGATGCCTACTGTGGATTAGTAGAAAACGTACAACAGTTTGGTCTATGCCAAAAAAATTGGGTCTTTTCATTTTACACAAAATACGAACAAAACCTTTTTGCTTGCAACAATGTCATTATGTCAACGATACTTTTGGCAGTAAAAATATTAAAAACCAAAATTATCACTACAAACAATATTATGAACTAATAAAATTCTGATGGAAATACTTCTTTTCTAAAAATCTCTTTATTCTACAGATAATTTGTGGCTGTAAAGGTTAATACGTAAAAAGATTTTTGTACTCTCTTTTTGTACAATTATAAATATTTATCTTTAAAAAAATTTCGAGTAGCTCGACCAAAAAAATATGGC